CCGCCACCCCCTCCGCCTCCTCCTGCTCCTCCTCCTCCTCCTCCTCCTCCTCCTCCTCATCCTCCTCCTCCTCCTCCTCCTTCTCATCCTCCTCCTCCTCTCCTCCTCCTCCTCCTCCTCCTCCTCCTCCTCCTCCTCCTCCTCCTCCTCCTCTTCCTCCTCACCAGCAGCAGCAGCAGCATCGTCAACAACCTCATCATAATCATCATCATCGTCAGCAGCAGCAGCAGCATCATCATCAGCATCATCATCAGCATCATGATCAGCAGCAGCAGCAGCATCAACATTATCATCATCAGCATCAGCATCATCAGCATCATCATCAGCATCATCATCCCCATCATCCATCATCCAGCATCCATCATCAATCCTCATCATCATCAACAACAGCAGCATCGTAATCATCAGCAGCAGCGAAAGCAGCAGCAGCAGCAGCAGCATCGGCATCAGCATCAGCATCAGCATCAGCATCGTCATCATCAGCATCAGCATCAGCATCAGCATCATCAGCAGCAGCATCAGCATCAGCATTAGCATCAGCATCAACATCCTCATCAGCATCATCATCAGCAGCATCGTCACCATCATCAATAACAACAAGTTATCGTCATTATCATCATCAGCAGCAGCATCATCGCCATCAGCATCAGCATCATTAACATCAGCATCATCATCATCAGTTTCATCATCAGCAGCAACAGCATCATCACGTCCTCCATTATTACGTTCCTGCTACCCCATCAAAACCACCACCATCGTCATCATCAACACCACCACCATCGCCGTCGTCGTCGACGACGACGTCATCGCCATCATCAACACTAACAACAGTCGGTTTAGGACTATTCGCTCCTATCTGTTCGCGTGACATCCAACATGTATGTACCACACCCTCGATAGCCCGCCCTCTTCGTATTCGATCGTATCCCCCTTGGGGGCATATCTTCCTTACCTGCCACGTGTAGTTGGCGCAGCCCTTCAACAGGGGAAGGAAGAGAGGAGGGAAGGTGCAACAGGGAGGGTGAAGAATAGAGAACGAGAGAGATCAGCAGGAGGGTAGTCAGGAGCAGGAAACAAGGTGCAGAACCAGACGAGCGGGCCGGGCGGGCGGACCCTAACAGGCGAGTCGGGCGGGCGGACACAGACGGCCAGGTCGAGCGGGCGGGTCACTGAAGCATCAGTCCTGCATGGATCGAGAGGAAGTCTCGAGCGATAGCGCGATTTCCAAGTAAATCGTGAGGGCGTCCAAAGCGAGAGCGTGATTCCTGAGTGTCGAGGGCGCAGCGTTTCATTAAATCGACAGGAAGTCTCACGCGAGAGCGCGATTCCTGCATGAATCGTGAGGACGTCCCGCGAGACAGCGCGATTTCATAATGCATTGTTGTTGTAAACCAAAAGCCAGGGGTACAGTCTGAGCCTCAAGACTTCCCCTTGTAAGAAACAGGTACGAGCCCCGGGAGTGGCACTTCAATTAGAAAAGCACACGATAGGCACAGGAAGGGGGGACGACATGAGAGTTCAACAGCGACGATAACGAGTGTGTGGCGTAATGCTCCATTGATCATAGGAAACTCGCATCCATCATGATATAACCACTTCGCGGGGGGAATTACCAGGTGTTCTCTCCTTCTGATCTCCAGGCTGAGGAGACCTTGCCAAGAACGCTTCCAAGGACATCTACCGTCTTCAGCTCGGATGACACATCGCGTTCGCGATTGCCCCGCCCCTGCCCTGTTTCAAGGTGTCGTCACGCTGGATAGGCATAACTCCTCTTCGAGGAGGCCCCGGGCCTCTGGGACAACTCGGGACCTCTGCGAGAGGCTCCCAAGACTGACGCTCCGCGACGGCTTCACACATGGGAGCCCACAAGCTCAGGCGCCAGGCCGAGAGCGCCCGCCTCCAGTAAAAGCCAAGGAGGCACCAGGCGGGAGCACTGACGTTGTTGGGGAGCGGGGGAGTTTCAAGCAGGAGCGTCGTTTTTGCGAGCTGGACTCGTTTTCAAAGAAAATGTGGCCGGCGCCGAGGCGATATATGAGGGCCCCAATGATGAGAATTGGATTGGCGCTTCAGACCCAACAGACAAAAAAAAACAATGTACTTAAGACTGCTCGCTCTTGGTTGCTCGCGTGTCCTCCAACCTGTAAGCCCCAAACCCACGAAACCCACGATAACCTCGCCGTTCGTCTTCGATAGTGCCCACTTCGGGGTATATCTGCCTTGCCCCCCTAAGACAAGGGATGACGGAAAGGGACAACGGCGAGAGCCAGGCAAGGAGGAGCAATCGAGAAAGGGGGGCAGGAGGGAGAGGATAAGGATTTGGGGCGAAAAGAATCTAGCAGGGGCGAGAAGAGAGGAGCAATGATGTTGGCAAGCGGGCCCTGACGGGCAGGTGTGGCGGGCTAGCCCGAACTGGCGGGCCGGGCGGGCCGGCCCTAAAGGGCGGGTCGGGAGGACGGGACATTAAAGCGGGCGGGCGGGCTTCCAAACACGCGGACGGGCGGGCCCTGACGGGCAGTCGGGAGGCGGACCCTTCTGGGCGAGTCGGGCGGGCGGACCCTAACGGGCAGGTCGGGCGGGCGGACCCCTAGCGAGCGGGTCGGGCGGGACATTGAAGCAGGCGGGCGGGCTTCCATGCAGAAGAACGGGCGGACCCTGACTGGCGGGTCGGGCGCGAAGACCCTACTGGGCGGGTCGGGCGGGCGGGCCTCAACGGGCTGGTCGGGCGGGCGGCGAGGGCATTGACGCGAATGTCGTAAGGTGTTGAACAGCCCCCTGCGAGAGCACGAGTCCTGAATACATTGCGAGGAGGTCTCGTGCGAGAGCGCCTGTCCGGAAGAGGGCACCGCAATCGCAAATTGCGAGGTGGGTGCGAGCGCGATTCCTTGGTAAATTGCAACGAAGTCCCGCGCGAGAGCGCGATTTCGAATTAAATGCGAGGAAGTGTCGAGTGGGAGCCGCTGTTGTTGCAAACCGGGGCCAACAACGCAGTTTGAGGCTCAAAACTGTCCCTGATAAAGAACAGGGTGCGAACCCAGGGGGGGAGCACGTCAGTTGAAAGAACATTAAGATCTGGGGGGTCAACAGTAGTCATCCTGCCGAAACGAGAGACTGAGATCAACAATGATGTTAAGGACAGCTCGCTCTTGTTAAGTTCACTTAAAGACTGCTCGGTCTTGTTGGGTTCACGTGCCACTCATTATGATTAACAATTACTCAATGTGAAAATACTCTCCCTCTTCCCCTGATGGCGTCCGGGTGATGGCCGCGCACCCTCCGCGTACTGTTTTTTTACACACAGGATTCCCGGGAAATCCCGGGAAACGACTCTCGCTGAGGCGCCGGCGTCATTTTTTCCCAAAATGCTGCTCTCGTTGAGGCGCCGGCCTCATTTCTGCTCCCGAATCGTTCCGAATCGTGCTCCCGCTGCAGCGTGGGCCTCATTTTCGGATCGGTGTTTGGCCTCCGTCGTTCAGGATGGCGTTCTCGCCCCAGCGCGGGCCTTTTCTCGCGCGCCCATCCGCCCGCCACCACCGCGCCGCACCACCACCACAACCACCACCAGCACAGCACCACCACCACCACCACCAGCACAGCACCACCACCACCACCACCACCACCACCACCATCACCACCACACCACCACCACCACTACCACCACCACCCGACAACCACGCACACACGCACGCACGCACGCACGCACGTGCACCACCACCCACTACGCACGCGCGCGCGGAGCCACAGGTCCGCTACGACACGCGTCCGCGGATAGAGAAAATCAGCGCCATGGTAAGGGATGGGAGGGATGGGTAGGACGTCAGATATGACGCGAGCGCACCTAGCTTGCCTCTAACCCCTCGGATCCCGCCCTCTTCGTTTTCTATCGCGCCGCCTTCTTGAGGGGTCCTGTTCTTTACGGGGGAAGCCGAACATGGGCGAGCGGGCGAGTAGACCTAGACGGGCGGCAGGGTCGATGTGGGAGGACCCCCAGACGGGCGGTCGGCCAGACTCCAGCGGGAAAGCGATCAGACGGGCGGGCGGGTGTACCGTCGACGGGCGTGCAGGCGGGCTGGGCGGACCCTAACGGGGCCGGTCGCGCGGGGGGAGCGCTGCAGTGAGCGGGCGGGCCTTCGAGCAAAGCAGCACGCGAGACCGGACGGGTGGTCGGGTGGGCATTCATCATCATCGACCTCATTACAAATATTTTTATTGTTGTTATTATCATTATTGTTGTTCTTATGCTTAGTATTATTATCAGCAATAGTGTTCTTATTGTGATTCATATGACTAATAGTGCCATTATCATTCATATGATCACTTGTTCGTATTAGCACTAGTAGTGATACTAATATTGCGATTGTTGTTAGTACTACAAGCATCATTATGGCAGTCATCATCGTCATCGTGCGCAGGCGTGCAAGAGAGGCGAGCATGCCTTCTGCTGTGCCATGCGGATCGCCTCCGTGTGCGGGTCCTTCCACCAGAGACCACTCGACAAAGGAAAGGGGGAAGGGATGGACGGATGGGGGAGGTAGGCGGCGGCACGAGCTGACGGCAAGTTCGTCCGACGCCTGGGGCTCACGACGCTGGCGCGCCTCTGCTGCGATGGGGCCAAGGCTGAGACTACCTGGCCACCATACCTCGCGAAGAGGACCGCATCCATTGCGCCAAATGCTGGATCAACACTCCGACATGCCGACTGCTCACAGAACCGCCACGTACCGAACACCTCTGTACGAGCGCTTGGAGTACCAACTCTGACGCAGGGCTGTCTACCGAGTGATTATTCTCCCTGCGCGGCATGGTGCACGCTTCTACTGCGCCAGCACCACGCAGGCACACCTGGTGAGCCCGCCAGCCATGATTTCAGTATGTTTGTTCGATAGTGTGAAGCGGAATGTTCTGACCCACCCTCAAGCCAGCCGGCGATTCCCAAGCAGGCCCCTGAGCAGCCGTAGTACCAATTCGTCTGACGACGAGCTCGTCCTTTGCGACTCGACGCCTCCCTCCTGCCCTCATCCTCCCTCATCGATTCTGGCCTTCATCCTATCTCCTCCCTCCTCGGTGTTCCCATATCGTTCCTTTTCCGATCATTCCTTGCCCCCGCTCCCTCATCCCTCGTCCCCCCCTGCCTCCCGCCTCCTCGTGCGCCGCGATCCCCTCACTGCCTTTCTTCCTTCACGCCTCCCCTCTTCCCCCCTCCCCTCCCCACTGTTCCTCCGCGACGGGAGGCGGCGAACAGGTGTGCTCGCGACTGGGCCGCCAAGGGGCGCACCAGCCAGCGGGCGGCCTGTGGATCCAGGGCCTCTGCTGCGAGGCGCCACTCGCAGAGGGGCTCGAGCACGCGATGACCTGCGTCGGCCTGGCCAGGTGCTTCGGGCACATAAATCACGCCATAGCCTGGCGGGTAGGGCCCCCCAGGTGCTTCGACATGGCAGTGTTGGAGGTGGCCCTGGGGACCTAGTCGATAGTGCGGTGCATCGTGCTGCACGGGTGCTGCTCCGAGGGCCATCGTTGGGGTATGGGCATAGGAGAGGGTGGTAGAGTCGCGCCTATGTTCCTCGGGGTAATCATCTTCCTGGAGATGGGTGAGCTGGTCCTCGCCTCCACCTGGGCGGACACGTGCCTCTTCTTCGACGACGTCGGGATGGCGACCTAGGGCATCAAGGAGTTCGCGGGATATTGGAACCTGCTCCTGGCCACGGCGAGTACTTGCACGTTCGAGGTACATGTGGACATGGTTGTGCCAAGGGGGGCGGAGGGCAAGAAAGTCACACTGGTGTCTTCCACCCCGCTCTATACCAGCGTCGTCAAGGGTGGCTGTAGACAGGGAGGTGCAGATGGTTGGTCTCGAGTCCTCTTGGAGTGGCGACGGCGGCGGACCAGCGCAGGCGGGTGAGGACCATCAGCAAAAGGGCCCTCAAATTCGCCGCAAGCAAGAACACGATAGTACGATTGCGCAGGGGCTGTGGCCTGGCGCACAGAAGGTTTTGCTGGTCCAAGGTGCCCTCATTCCTCCGCGGTCAAGGTCATGGGGAGGGCGGGCTCGAAGATGAGTGAGCTGCGCAAAAGCGTAGCCACAGCGGTGCCAGGGGATACCCAGGGCTGGTCTTCATTCTTCAGACTGCCGCGCTGGCGTGGACCCAGGCGGCTTGGTGAACGCCTCGCCGATACTCTCGTGGGTGCAGAACTGGCAGGGGTCGTTAGAGGACAAGCATTTGCAGCAACGGCTGCAAGTGGCGTGAGAGTGCTGGGTTGTCGTTGTTGCTATTTTTGTTGGTGCTGTTGGTGTCGGTGTTGGTGTTGTTGTTGTTAGTGGTGGTGCTGTTGTTGCTGTTGAGCTGTCATTTCTAGAAAATACGTCGTGTCGATCCCCCTCTGGTGACCATTGTATGTTGTCAATTGAAATGTTTCTCCCAGGGATCGCACCTTGCTTTTTATAAAGGAAAATAAAAAGGCCATCAAACTGGATTGTTGGGCCCCGAACTACTACAACAAAAACAGCACCAACACCAATCATTGTAAGAATGCTCGCTCTCCTCTACTCGCGTGCCATTCAACACGTATCTCCCCAACCCTCGATACCCACCCTCTTCGTCTTCGATCGTGTCCCCCTGGTGGCATATCGTTCTTACCTGCAACGTGGATTTCGTGCAGCACCTAAGGCAGGGGAAGAAACGACAGATGGAAGGAAGGGACAAGGGGAAGGAGGAGGATGGAGCACGACAGAGAGAATAGCAGAAGGGGGTCTATGAGCAGAAAGCACGTGACAGAACCAGACGGGCGGATCGGGCGGGTAGACCCTAACAGGCGGGCCCAGGCGGCCAGGTAGAGCAGGCGGGTTGCTAAAGCGTGCGTCCTGCATGAATCGCAAGGGAGCCTTGAGCGACAGCGCGATCTCAAAATAAATCTCGTGAGGGAATCCATAGCGAGAGCGTGATTCCTGAGTGTCGAGGGCGCGGCGCCTGAATCAATGGCGAGGAAGTCTCCGAAGCGACAGCGCGATTCCTGACTGTCGAAAGCGCGGCGCCTGAATAGACTGTGAGGAAGTATCAGGCGAGAGCGCGATTCTTCGATAAATTGCGAGGAAGCCCGCAGCGAGAACGCGATTCTTCAGCAAATTGCAAGGGAATTTCAGGCAGGAGCCGTTGTTGTTGTAAACTGGGGGCCTGGGGCACAGATTGAGCGGGAAGACTTTCCCCGGTAGAAACACAGCGAGCCCAAGGAGGGACACTTCAATTGAAAAACATGCGTTACGCGAATGCATGGGTCCTGCATTGTCCGCCAGGAAGCTCTCGCGTGGGATCTCCTCACAATTTCTTCAGACGCCGCGCCCTCGACACCGCTCTCGCTGTGGATTTCCTCTCGAATTATTATATTGCACAGGGTGTCTAGAACTCCGACCACTTTATTCCGCGTCGCACACACGCACACACACACACACACACACACACACACACACACACACACACACACACACAAACACACACACACACACACACACACACACACACACACGCGCGTCCCCAGCGCCAGAGTGGGACCCCCGCGCCGTGGCTCTCTGCCCCGAGCTCCCCCCCGCGTCCCAAGCGCCCCAGCGGGAGCCCCGCCCACTGCCCCCTCCGCCACGAACGTTTTATTCCGCGTCGCACCCCCCCCCCCCCCCGCTCCCCAGCGCCAGAGTGGGACCCCCGCGCCGTGGCTCTCTGCCCCGAGCCCCCCCGCGTCCCCAGCGCCCCAGCGGGGGGCCCGCCCACTGCCCCCTCCGCCACGAACGCTTTATTCCGCGTCGCACCCCCCCCCCGCGTCCCAGCGCCAGAGTGGGACCCCCGCGCCGTGGCTCTCTGCCCCGACCGATCCCCCCCGCGTCCCCAGCGCCCCCACGGGGCCCCGCCCACTGCCCCCTCCGCCACGAACGCTTTATTCCGCGTCGCGACGCACACCACCTCCCCCACCTCCCTCCCCGCGTCCCCAGCGCCCCAGTGGGGGCTCCGCCCCGTGCCACGCCAGTGCCCGAGGAGTCCAACGTTTCGCCAGCCGTCCTAGAGGGAACCTTCGGTCGTGGCTGGGCATCTAGGGCGTCTGTGAGGAGGTACGCACCCCACAACGGGAAAGCCGTTCTGATCACTTAATCCGGGTCGCCTGGTAACGACCTGGGGGAGGTGCAGCTGCCACTCGCCAGAGCCAATCGGGTCAATCCTAATTCTCGGCTTGGCTTGTAGCTCTAATCCGCTCTACAGCCGAAAAGATTGCCAAAAAACACATCACTTAAGAAACATGGGACAGCCTCCCGGAACTTCCCTAAAACAAACCTGGGCCAACTCCTGACATGAACGCTGCAGGGGTGAACGTGTTCAAGAAACTGGGCCAGCTTTCGGGCCAGTTGGTTAAGAATCGCTAACCCAGCTTGTTGGGAGGTGTCTGAATGAGATGCTCGACTGGATTTCCCATCCTGCTTCTAACAACCCGCCTAGCCCTCACAGCGGCACCCCGATCAACCCAGGCTATCGCCGTACACCCTGGTTTCCAGGGGGGGCCGGCGGAAGGTCGGCAGCCTCTAGGACGACCACGCCGGACGACGAGCATAACCAGAGAGCCAGCGAGATCCTGAAAAAAGGCCCCCCCGGCACCCGGGGTGGTGGAGGATGGACGCCCTGCTGCTTCACTCGGCGGCCGCGACGAGCCCGGGGGGAAGTAAGAAGGGGCGGGCCTTCTCAGAAGGCTCCGAAGTCCCCTGGCCTCCGCGAAGACACTGAAAAACTTCCCCGAAGGCACAGCAAACTTATCAAAGGCCGGAGGGCTTCCGAGAAGCCACGCCACCTTCTGAGAGGGCCTTCTCGTTCTCACTTCCCCCCCTCGCTCGCCGCCGAAGCTTGGGCCCCCAAATCGAGCCCCAAGCATGCTGCATAGTCGATCTGTTGGCGCGTCGGCCCCGCCCTGCAGCGCCCTCGCGGCGTTCCACGCATGTCGCAGTTCTCAATTCGCAGTCGGGCTCCCAGCTGCCCTCCGAACGACACTCTGGCTCTGCGGTGGCGGGCTGACGCCTCGTCCCTCGCTGGGCTATTTGTCGGCATGCAGCGGAGAAGATCAACGCGTCAGGGAAGGTAAAGGCGGGGCGTGCAGGGTGCTAATTGCGCCCCATGCAAGAGAGGGCGGCAGGAGGATCGACGCTAGACACACGCATGGCGCCTGGGCGAGGATCCTAACAACAGCGGACCTGAATTGGCGGTGTACGCCGAGAGCTAGGCGGAGCTTCACTTTTGAAGATTAGAGAGTCTGAGAGGTGAAACCACAAAACAATCGAGATAAGAAAAACACATCATAAATTCAAAACAACCCACACAAAAAAACGAAAACGACAAACACCGCGAAGCCGAGACGACTGTCGAAGAACATCACTGGCCGGGGCTCCAGGTGATCCCCATATCATCGTATGAATGTTGGCTTGGCCTGAAGCCCTCCTCCTCCTCCTCATCCTCCTCCTCCAACTCCTCCGACCAGTACCAAGGACGTCTGGTGATCATCAGCTGATAGACTTGTTCAAGAGAGCGTGGCAAGGCAAGCGAGAAGAGGATGTCATCCCCCAGCCCTCAATCGAAGGTGTATGGCACGAGTATAATACAGCAGAGGAGTCAGGAGACCAAGCAACCCGCCCCTTGGCTCCAACTTCTGCGCAGATTCAGGTGTTGAATAGAACGTCGGCTGTTCTATTGACGCTGCCGCTGCTGCCGTCATGGCATCCCATGCGCCAGCTGACCTGGCAGCAAGGTGTGGGAATCCAACGGCGTAGGACCAAGGAAACAGGACGGAAACGACCAGAAAAGGCAGCTACAACTACGCAGATGAAACAGATGAGCCAGGCATGGTACAGAAACCGCGTAGAAAGTGCGATGATGAGCCACCCACTTGTGACTCGCAATATGGCATTACCGCTAACCTGCAAAATGCTTCAGATTTGGCTTCAATGTATGCTAGCCTAAAACCCCTCCGCCATCAGTAAAGA